TGCGTCAAGGCGACGTTCACCGGGCCCCGTCGCGGCATGCATGCACTGACCCGTCCTGTCTGCTAGATAGCTTGGCAGTCATGATGACTCATCCATGGGTTCATGCTTGGCGGTGCACAACAGCAGCCCAAAGTGGTGGTGTGCACGCCAGCAGCGATTCCAGCTGCACGCACACGCCGGCCGCACAACCCAGCGAGCGTCACCACGCTGCCGGCGATCTGGGTCAAGCGACTCACCCTGTCCACGGCACACGAGCAGGCGAGCACGGTGTGCAGGCCGAGCCGGGCGCCTGCTGCGGCCAAGGGGCCGCTTGCTGGGCGCGACAGCCGTCAGGTGCCTGGTGCTTGTTGAAGGGGCCTCACAATACCACCTTGTGCATTGAATGGGTGCGCTCAGCTCCTCGCGCGGTAGGGCGGCTGAGCAGGCCCCTGGAGTGTGCCCTGCCCGTGTTCTTCCGTCTGTCGCCATACCGAACGCAGACTTGTTCACACAGGGACATCAATTTTTGTCTAGCTTGCAATCTACAAGCACTACGAACTTCAACCCTATCTCTCTGTTCCGTTCTGTATTGGCCCTTTTGGTTGGTGCTGCCCCAATTCGATCGCAGCGCTGCCTCAACGCTTGCATCGGGCACTTGCTTGTGAGCCGTGTGCTGCACGGTGTTGGTGCTCAGCTCGGCGCTCTGTCCACACGCGGATGTGATTCCAGGGCAGTCTCCAGGCACAGCGTCATTTTTCATGCCCATTGGCAGCCACTTTTTTGGTGTATGTGTGGGGGGGAGCGGCACACGCCCGGAATGGTGGCTGCTCATCGCCCTGTTGCGCCGCCGTGTTGAGTTCTGCATGCAGTACCCTGTACCTGGCTGCTAGCAGCTGCTGCATCAGCGTTGCATTCGCCGCCCCTCCCCTCCTTTTCCCTCTCCTCCTTGCAGCCACTGCAACATTCGGCGACGATGGAGTGCATGTACGCCCAACATTCTTACTCACGCAGTGGTGCCTGCAGCTTGAGATCAACCCTGCTGTGCATCAAGGACAAACATCCAATGCGGTATGCCTTGGCATGGGGCAGTGAAGGGTCGGCGGTACCCCGGTCGTAAAAACAGCTGATGAGCTGACTATGCCTCATGCATTGGCTCATTGGCTGTACCGACCTCACCTGCTTCATGGTCAACCTCGCCGTATGCTTCAAGATTTATCATCTATAATCACAAATGCGATGGGCCCGCAGTGACGTACCGCACGAGAATGAAATTCTCGCCGACCCGAGTGTCACGTGGTGCAGCATGTTTGATCATGTTGCTGGTCCTAACGGCTACACGAGAAATAGATGTCGTGGCAGCTATATGTGACCAAACTGCAACAGCCGCATCCCCGGGCCCAAACCTTGCGGTTGGGGCTGCACCATCACCAGAGGCGGCCCTATGGGCATGGGTGCGCAGCGGCGGCGGGCAGGTCAACTTTGACGTCAGGCACTCATCGGAGGGCGTGAGGGGCGGCTACGCCTCCCACGACATCCCCGCAGGCGGCGTGGTGAGTTCCGGCGGCTGCGGAGAGGCTGGTCCGCCGCTACGCACTGCTGCATGTTGCCGTGCGGCAAGCCCATAGGTCACGGGCTATGCGTCGCCCCGGGCTTACAGGCCTCTCTAAACCGCCAGCCCTGGAAAGGGCATCATATAATGGACCAAAACGGCCGCGCCCCAGCACGTAGCCTCTGACCGCATGCAAGCAAGCAGTTGGCCCTCTCCAGCACCCGTTAGCTGCAGGGCCGCTGCGGTCGGCTGCTTTGGCACTGATGTGCTCCTTGGTTGTTGCCGCCAGGCATGTTGCTGCTCGCAACACGGCAAAGGTCTGGATTTGAAAACCCTGTTTTGCCTAGCTTGTGGTCAAGCTGCATGTTCTACTCCGCTCCCCCCCTTTCCCCCACCTTCCCCCTGGGCCCTCCGTCTAACCGTCAGGTCATCAGTCTTCCCCTGAGCCTCACGTTCAAGCTGCCTGATGCATACTTGGCGGTGGGCTGCCACGAGCGTGCCCCTGTCCCGTACAGGCCTGACCTGGCCCGACAGCAGCAGCAGCTGCTGCAGCTTGTTTGGTGCATGGGCCGCCTCGGCTGACTGCGGTCCGTGCCGCAAGCCGCCTCGCAGCAGGCGGCCTGATCGCATATCCACCTGCCCTTGTGAAAAGCCTCAACAAAGTGCCTTTGCGCTGCCTCGTGGCGGCGGCCACCACGACCGGCCCGGCCAGCGGGCCTCAGCTGCCATGCGCGGCCGATCCGGGGCTCGGCCCGGCTTGGCGAGTCGCAGAGGGGACGTTAGGGTGTACTGCGCACACACCAACAATCCTTTTTCACATTGAGCGGACAGTCCCAGGCCTTCCATCGGCCCTACTTGTTGTGTACGTGTGCCCACCCCCTTGGCCCGCCCCGCCCCTCCTCCTCCAGGAGCTGGCAGAGCTGGTGGCTGTCGAGGCGGTCAACGCCAGCAGCCCCCTCGCGCCATACTTTGACGCGCAGCCGCGCCCCGGGGGCGGCGGCGCAGGCGGCGGCGGGCCGCCGCTGAGCTGGGAGGCGCTCCCGGCTGAGTACCTCCACCTGCTGCAGGCACCAGCGCTGGTGCGGCCGCACGCCCGGGTCCTCAAAGTCGCCCCTCCCCAGCCTCTGCGCCTTGCAGCTGCCGCCCTGCAGCTTGCAGCAGAGGGTCCCCAGCGGCAGAGGGTGGACTGAAGGGCGGGAGATCCTGCTGCGCATAGCTTGCCCACCGTGCCCGCTGGCAGCGGGTCACCAGGCTGGGGCCCTGCTCGCCACTGCCGGGCGTGCGCTCAGCCGCAATAGCGCTCTGATGGGCTTGCGGGCAGGTTGGCGCCCCAAGTGCTTGGTTCCCAAGCAGATACTACAGCAGCTCGGGGTTCTGGCAGGGTAGCAAGTGGTTAAACTAGCTCTCCTCCACCTGGTGACATCATAGAGGTGGTCGTCGGGGTATGTGCGTAGCGGTTGAAAGTTTTGTACTCAACGAATTGCCTTCACACACCACCTCACGCGCAGGTTGATTATGCCCAGCAGCGCCAGGCCTCCTTTGGCCGCTACTGGAGCCGTCACGGGCTGCGGCTGTCAGCCGCTGGCGTCACCTTTGAGTCTCTAAGGAGCGCTATCGTGTTGGTGAGCACTGCTGGTGACGTGCAATGGCTTTTCGCAAGTGGGCCCTGGACGTGTGGCCTGACCCTGCACGTGACAGAACGCAGGTGCAACGATGGCTCGGGCAAGGGGAGCGCTGCGACAATTGGAGGGTTGATACCACTGGCATGTGCACGCCGTGCCTGAAATACTTACCTTGCACGCTCCGGTCTCTCAACACCATCTTTTCCTGGCGCACTGCTCCATGCGGTTTCACTGTACCTGACGGCACTCCTTGCTTGCTTGCCGCGCTTGTGCAGCTGACTACCCGTATGTTCCAGGCTCCCCCTGGCGGCGCGCATGGCGGCCACACATTGGTGCTGCCTGCGCTTGACATGCTAAATCAGTGAGTGCAACCTGCTTATGCAGTGGCGTGCGTCTGTGTGTGCGTGTGCGAACGTGTGCGGATGCGTGTGTATGTGTGCGTGCATGTGTGTGTTTATGTTTGCGCACTCATGCACGAGTGCATCGATTGGCTCTTGCATACGTGCAAGGTGGGACAAACCCCATATGAAAGCCAGCCTCGTTGCCTCCAACCAAAGCGTTGCGCCAAGTAGAGACCCTTGCGTATACCTAGGAATTTGCTGCTCGGTGGACGCGTCCGCATTTGCGCTCTATGTGCGGTAGCCGCTTTACGCTGACTACGGTGGCCAGCCCCATACTTGAGTACAAGCTGTCATGTGATCCCCCTTTTCAAACACAAACACGAATCAACGCATGCCCCCGCAGTCACAACGGCTGCCCCACCTTCCACCATGTCGAGCCATGCACGCCGCCGCCTTCTCCTGCGGAGCCACTTGCAAACAGCAGCGGCAACAGCAGCAGCGGCAGCAGCGAATTGTGCTGGGTCTCGCGGACAGCCGTCGCAGTCGCGGCAAACCATGAGGTATGCCTTGCGTATGGCCACATGACCCCCGACATCGCCCTGTTTCAGTACGGCTACCTCCTGCCTGCAGAGGATCCCAGGGCGCCGCTGCCCCTCAGCAGAGTGGACGAGGCGGGGTTTGACCCGGAGGCTGACCTGGCGGGGCCGGGCGTGCTGGCGCCCCCCAGGCCTCTGTTGACAGGTGCGCAACAGAAGGTTCTTGTGCAGCCACACGAGGATGTTTGTAGTTTCTTCAGTGATGCTTTGAGCCGCGTGTGAACCTGTATAAGCACTTTGAGGGCCGTGCGGTCTGTGATGTGACCAGTCGCAACTTGATCGCTCTCACCTCACTATCCACTGCTGTACTTGCTGCCCGCCCCACCACGCCCCATCCCGATCAGCCGCCACGGTGTCCCTCGAGCACCTGCGCTCGGAGCAGCAGCGCGTGCAGGCCCTGGCACAGGCGCTGGCCGAGGGGCGGCCGGCGGCCGAGGCTGCGCGGCCGGCTGCAACGGACCCGACAGGTGCGCTGCTGCGTGACGTCCTGGCGTGGAGGGTGCAGCGGCAGGAGGCGCTGGGGGCAGAGGCGCGGCGGCTGGGCAGGGAGATTGCGGCTGCAGAGGGGATCGTGCTGAGCGGGGCTGCGGGGAGCAGCGGCGGCAGCGTGAGCAGCAGCGGCTCCAGCAGCTGCGCCTGCAGCAGCCACACTGATCTTAGCGGCGGCGGCGGTGGCAACAACAGGAGCGCCTGCCGCGGTGATGGTGCGGCCTGCAAAGCGGGGCCCGGGAGTGAGGGGGCGTGCTCACCCTCCAAGTAAGGCATCCTATGTGCGGCCCTGGCACACTTGTCCAGCTAGGCATCATGAGTCACTAATTGATCATGCACTGAAAAACGGTGTTGTGACTGCAGAATAGGCTGGTCCGCTGACCACCACCCGGCGCAATTGGCTGCTGCCCTGCACGACCTTTCCATCGTTTTTGGAAGACACTTGCCTGTGCCTATGCTCTACTGTGACGAGCTTGTGTGGCCGCATGCACGTGCACATGCATGCGCGTGCTCATGTGCTCGTGCATGCCTCCAATCGCACACGCGCGCATGCTCATACCCACATGCTGCAAACCAGAGCACCACCGCCCTTCCAAGCAGAGATGCGTGGAAGCTTGATTTGTCTGTATCAACACATGAGGTTGTCACGGACCGCTGTGCTCGCCTGTATTACGTATGCTTGCTGCTTGAACTTGCCCAAAGCAGACAATGTATGATGCCGCTGATGTCATGCGTGTCACGATCCCAGCACTATGGCATCGTACATTGATGGTATGCAGACAAGTTTGTAACCATGATTTGGTAGGAGATTCCAGCAGGGCTTTGCTTGATATGGTAAGAGGGGGACTGAGGCTGCCCCGGCGCCTGTTGTGTGCCGCACAGTGGATGCCAGCTCCAAGCCCAGCTGGTGATCAGCTCCAGCTGTGCCGACAATGGTGCTCTGCTCGCAAGCACCACGTAACCTTCCGACCTGCGCAGCTACACGCTGCCTGCAATACGTCCGCTTTGCTACAACACTAGACTGCCATTTCTTGAACGTACAAGCGAGATCACACACGCGCGAGGATCTACCACTGTATGTTCTTTGATATCAGCACAAACGCAGGCTGAGGTCGCAGTCATTGGTGAGGAATGTTGCGCTTGTTGCGCATACACAGGCGCTGCGGCGGGCCTGAACATGCTGAGCACTGCAGACGCTTTGCACTTTTGCTCTGCCGCTGGCCGGCCGCTGCGACGCCGTCAAACAGCATGTTGCCCATGCCCATTACCTCCAATTTCAGTAACATGGAGGTGACACTCCGCCAGTTTCTGTCATGCATCGACAGCGCCCGGGGCCAAGCCGCCACAGCAGCGCTTGAGCGTTTCAAACAGGCCTGCGCGGCTGCTGCCGCAGTTGGCGATGCCGAAAGCGGCGGCGGCCGCGGCGCAGCGCCAGAGGCGATAAGCGAGCCCACAGCAAACCGGCTGCTGCGGCGCCTGTGCGTCCAGGACACTTGTGCGCAGGCCACCTCCAGCAATCTCATCGCTTTTGCGCAGACCAGCCAGGCGCTGCAGGCCCTGCTGACGGTGCACAAGGTGGCGGACGCGTTCATGACGGAGGGGCGCATGACCGCCCTGATCGACACACTCGAGGCGCTTGGCGGCGGCCGCGGCGACAGTTTGTCTCAGGAGACGCGGGAGACGCTGCAAATCGCCGGCACCAACTTTCTGTTGGCTGCTTGCGCCACGAACCAGCGCTTTGACAGGCCTGTCAGCAACGGCGGCGGCGGCGGCGGCATCGCGAAAGGCGGCGCGGCGCTCCCTGTCGACCCCGCGCTGCAGGCCCTGGCAGGGGTGGTGGCGCGGCCGGCCGCCGTGCATGCGCTGCTGCGGGCGGCGCGCGAGCAGCTGGAGGCTGGCCGTCACGAATGGGACCCTCTCATGGCGCTTGGGCAGGCGCAGACCGCCGCAGTGCGCCTGACGAATACTGCCGCTTTTTCGACCGTCTCCTGCGCACCCGCTGCCGCCTTCATGGACGACTGGCCGACAGCGATCAACGTGTATCCCGCCGCGCGCATGGCCTGGGACGGTCCCGAATCAGGCTGGCTATGTCAGGTGCTGCCGCGCCTAGTGGAGCTGCGGCTGGGGCCGCTGCCAGTGTGCTCGCCGATGGGAGCCAGTAAGGCGGCACGGCGGCAGGTCGACGCGCTTGATTCCGCATATCAGTTGTGCGACGACGCCGACGGCTTGATCGAGACTCTGTCGCAGGACGCGGCAGCGATGGGCGCGGTGGCTGGGTGCATGCTGCCAGGTCGCGACGCGAGCGTCGTCAGGTCAGCAGTCAGCCTCCTCAGCAGAGCGCTGGAGGCGTGGCCTTGGGGCGACGAGGGCGCCAGCGAGGCGCTCGCCGCCTGCTGCAAACCCGATTCACTCCAGGCGCTGCTGCGGCTCGCCGCCATCCGCAGTGGCAGCGCCAGCCGCAACAGCGCCGTCAGCAACGGCCTGAGGGCATCAGCAGCGCAGGTTCTGGCAGCCATCGCCACACACGAGGCGCTCGCGGGGCAGCCGTCCAGCATCGCTGCGGCGCCTGGGGCCGCAGCGGTGTTTGTGTCGAGCTTGCGCAGCTGGCTGGCAGAGGGATGCAGGCAAGCCCTGTTGAAGGATATGCCCACAGTGCAGGAGATCTGCACCATTCTGATGTGCACCGTCGCTGAGGACAGCACCGGGGGCAGCGCATGGGCCGCCACCCTCGGACGTCTGGGCGCGCCGCAGCTGCTTCAGCGTGCAGTGGCCCTGAGGAACGCAAGCGCGTGGGCGGCTGTGTGGTCGGCGCCAATAGCAGCAGCACTGTTTGCGGTCGCATGCGCTGCGCACGCAACAGATCAGCTGCGGCAACCTGGTGGGCAGGCGGGCATTGACGACGAGGTTGAGGCGGCGGAGCAGACTCGGGCCGCCGTAGAAGCCCTGGCAGACGCGGGCCGGCAGGCGGTATCCCCCCTGCGCTTCTTGGCGGCGCTGCGTCCTGGCTGGCGGCCCCGGCTGATCCAGGCGCCAGGCATACTGGAGCTGCTGTCGGCCGCGGCGGCCGCCCCAGACCAGGAAGAATGCAAACATGCACTCCAAACCCTGTGCCTGCTGGCTTCGGGCGCGGCGCCAGTTGAGCACCTGCCTGGCTTCGCGCAGGATGTACTGGAGCAGTGTGACGAGTGGCTGATAGACGCTTATGATGAACCTGATTTGCCGCAGGACTGTGGCCAGGCGGCGGTGGAGGAGGTGCTGGGGTGCCTTGCAGGCTGTCATGAGGCAGGCGGCAGTGTGGGTGAGCGCGCTGCCCTGGCTCTTGCCCAGCTGAGGGCCGGCGAGCTTCGATTGGTGCAGCCGTCTTCGCAGAAGCAACAACAACAGCAGCAGCAGCAGCAGCAGCAGCAGCAGCAGCGGCAGCTCCCGGAGCAGGCACAGCAGCAGCAGCAGCAGGAGCAGCAGCAGGAGTACCAGGAGCAGCAGCAGCAGCAGAAAAATCAGCAGCAGCACCAGGAGCAGCAGCAGCAGCAGCGAGAGCAGGAGCAGCGCAACCAGACGCAGGAGAAGCAGCAGCAGCAGTCGCGTCAGCAGCAGCAGCAGCAGCAGCAGCAGCAGCAGCAGCAGCAGCAGCAAACAGAGCAGCGACAGCAGCGGCACAAACCTCAGGTTGACATGGAGCAGCGGCGAGACCAGCGCAACCAGCAGGGCCAGCCAGAGCCGGGCACACAGCGCAATGCCAGCCCAGGAGCAGCAGCTGCCCGCGGCGCAGCAGCACAGTCGGGCAGCATGCGCCAGCGCCGCGGATGCGCCGTTTGCGGCAAGACGGCACGCGAGGGCGCCGAGCTGCGGCGCTGCGCGGGCTGCGGGCGCGTCACTGGAACGCGGTACTGCAGCCAGGAGTGCTGCAGGATGGACTGGGTGGTGCGGGGCCACCGCGCGGTGTGTGAGGCGGCGCGTGCCAGCCTCAGAGCGAGGCCTGCGGCGCCGATTGAACTTGGCTGAATCACCCTCGTTGTAATGTTCTGCCATTGATCTGGCTCGTGACACGTTGCTGTGTGCTGTCCAATTTGTTGAAGGAAGGGGCGCAGCTTCGCCTGTGATTTTCAACCTCGGTGACGAAACCTGCGTGCATGGATCATGTTTCCCTGACCCCACCAGGGCTGCGGCTGTTGGCTGTGTATACCATGCACTCATGGCCGGCGCATGACTGGTGCGATTTCCAAAGTTGGCCTTGGATTCTTGCAACCCACAAACTAATATCAGTGTCTGCAATTGTGTCCTGTTTCATCAGTCTTCAACTGTTGTAATTGGCAGAGCCTGCTCCACTCTCTGTGTGTCCACATCAGCGGCGGTCACTGGGAGCATCACGATCCAACATGGCCGCTTTGGTCGCGTCTGCAATACATGACGACCACGGTACGGGGCATATACCGGCCACCCGCAGTAATATACACGCAGCATCGTCCCTCGCTGGATATAACCGTCAAACACCAGAGATCAGCTTGCAAGCACACGAGATCAGCGTCCCTTGCCTGTCCTGCTGGGCTGTAGAAGCAGCAGCCATGGCATCAATGCTGTACTCACACATCCCACAGGTGATAGGGATCGTCGGCGCCGGGCAGATGGGCTCCGGCATCGCGCAAGTGTGCGCTACGAAAGGGCTCGACGTGGTCATTTCCGATCATTCTGCAGGTTGGTGACGCTGATGGTGCCGCATGCAGTTGGCTTGCGACATGCTCCACTGCGCCCTTGCCCCTGTGTCCCTGTTTGCGTGCTGACGCGTCCAAAGTGTCTGCCTGACCCGTCCGCCCGCTGCCGCCCCGCCCCGCCACACGGCCGCCGCGAACCCAACCCGGCGCTGCTCCCCAGAGCTGCTCGAGCGCGGCATCGGATCCATCAAGAAGCAGCTGAAGCGGCTGGTCAGGAAAGGGGAGATGGCGGAGGGGGTCGCGGCAGAGATAGAGGGGCGGGTGCGGCCAGAGAAGAACCTGGAGGTGGGCGGGCAGGCCGGCAGGAGCTGACGTCGCTCGTCTGTTCCCTTGAAATGAGGAAGCAGGCGGCCACCCCGACCCTCCCAGCCGCGCAACTCGCACGGCCGAGGCTCTGCACCGTCGCGATCGACGCCGACGGCGCTCCGCGTCGCGCGCGCGCGGCCCGCTGCCTGCTCCGCCCCCACCAGCCGCGGCGCTGTGCGGCTTCGGTCGGCCGGCCGTCCGAATTATGCCGCACACGCATGCGCGGCCGGGCCTGCCGCGGCCCTCGGTCACCTCGCCCGTCACCCGTCACCCGTTGCCCCGTCATCGGCCCGCCTCCCCCCCGTCGCGACGCCCCAGGCGATGAAGAACGTCGACTTTGTCATAGAGGCGGTGACTGAGAATGAGGAAGTCAAGAAGGCCATCTTCACCAGGCTGGACAAGGTGCGGCTGACTAAGTAGATGTTTGCTGACAGGGCAGCCAGGCTGGGGGGCCGGTCTCCTCCCATACAGGCAAGCTGCGCTTGCTGTTTGCAGCTGATTAGGATTGCGTGTGGCGCAGAGGCATCTGGGTGCGTCTGGCGGGCTCGCGGGTTGTTGGAGTTGGTCGCGCAGGCCGAGAGGCGGCGGGGGATCAGGCCGGCGGCCGCGCCAGGCGGCGGGGGGCCTCGGGGAGTGGTCTGGGGCGCAAGGGCCGAGAGCGGTGGTTCAGGGGATGGGTCGGCAGGTGGCTGGCGGCGGACGAGCCGGGGCATAGGGAGCTGTGAGAGCCTGCTGACCACAGTTCTGCCTCCTCGCTGCTGCTGCTGCTGCTGGTGCTGATGCACCTTTCTGCCCACACGCTCCCACCCCGTCCCCCTTCTCACCCCCACCCCACCCTACCTTCACCCTCATCCCAAACCCGGCCCAGATGACCCCCATCCACACAATCCTGGCCTCAAACACCAGCAGCATATCCATCACAAAACTCGGGGCCGTCACCAACAAGCCACACAGAGTGGTGCGCGCATGCCCGCAGCGCTGCCCGGCGCCGCCCGTCCTGGGATGAAACCTGGCGACGAACACACGGGCTTGACCGCTGGCCAAACGCCGCCCTGTTCTGCTCTGCGCTCCTGGCGTCTGCTGCAGTCACAGCCCTTCCTGCCAGACGGCCGTCGATCTTTCTGCTACAGGGTATCACATGAACGCCTTGACGGAGTCGCCACGCCACGCCACTCATTAGCCCCTCCATCGACCCCTACCGTCCACCCCAACCCCACCACCCCCAACCCCTGCAAAGATCGGCATGCACTTCATGAACCCCGTGCCCGTGATGCAGCTGGTGGAGGTGGCGCGCGGCGTGCACACCAGCCAGCAGACGTTTGAGAGCTGCAAGGGCCTGGCGGAGTTCCTGGGGAAGCAGGTCTGCACCAGCCAGGACAGACCGGTGAGTCAGCATCGTCCGCACGCACGAGCACACGCGTGGACAGGTGCAGGTGGCGCACGCGCCGCGCTGCAGCCGCTGCGCCAGCCGGAGCAGGCGGGAGAGAGCAGCCGCATGACCCGCTTCTGCTGCTGAAGCTGCTGTGAGGCCGTTGGGACGCTTTGCGCCAGGGACCAAGCAGCCTTGCAGGAGGCTTCCCGGACGCCTTGCATGTCTATGGGCCGTCCTGATAATTTCCTGTGGCGTTGCAGCCGGTGCCGCGACGACGGGACGCCCCTCCCCCCCCCTGGGCGCACACCATCCCCCTGTCGTCATACTCACCCACCCCTGCTCATCCCCAGGGTTTTCTTGTGAACCGGGTGCTGATCCCCATGATAAACGAGGCCTTCTTCTGCCTCATGGAGGTGCGCAGATACTCATACACGCAGGCACACACACACATGCACGTGCGTGGGGGCCCACAAACACACATGCACACACGCAGCCACACCCACCCACACCCACACGCACGCACATGCCTTGTGTGCACCCAACCGTGCGGCAGAACTTTTGCAGTTTTTTGCCCCAGCAGTGGACGGAGTATTGTCCAACACCCGCATCCCCCGAGGCTCCGCCCTGCCTATGTGAATTCGCCTCCCACCCCCACCCCGCGCTCCCACTCCCCATCTGCCCCACATCTCCGCCTGTCTTCGCCCAGGGCGTGGGCACCGCGGAGGACATAGACAAGGGCATGCGGCTGGGCACCAACCAGCCCATGGGGCCGCTGCGGCTGGCGGACTTCATAGGTCGGTGCCTCGGCTGAGCGACGGTCGCGCCACAGATGGGCGCGGCACCAAGGGTCATAATGCACAGCGGCAAGCGACGGCGCCCGCCCGGGCAGACGGGTGTGCTCGCCGCGGGGCCGGGAGCGCGCGCCTGCGTCCGCCGAGGCGGCTCCCCAGTCGCCACGCCATCCGCGTCGCACGCTCCCCTCAGCTTGCCCCTTTTGAGTCCCGGCCCCGACCCCGTGTTTGCACCCACACCAGACCCCCACGCTGACCCACCACCCACCCCCACCCCCCAAAAAAATCCCAGGCCTGGACACGTGCCTGTCCATCATGAAGGTCCTGCACAACGGCATCGGCGACAGCAAGTACCGCCCCTGCCCCCTGCTGCAGCAGTACGTCGACGCCAACTGGCTGGGCCAGAAGGTGGGCGCCCCAGCCTGGGCACTCCCGCTGGGGGGCGCGTGGATCCGCAGGCGTGTCGCAAGTTTGTGCTGGGTGCTGTGTGCTCGTGGGGGCGGAGGAGGGTAAATGCATGGGCCGCGGCAGCTGGGGCGCTGGGACGTTGGTATCTAGTCGGGGGATGAGGAGGAGCCAGCACGCTGGGCTTTGTTGGGGTGGGATGGAGCCCAAGGGAGCTGGGTGTCATGTCCATGGTGGGCATGCACCCACACGCTCGAGAAAACCACTTCTCGCGCGCACGTGTGTGTGCACGCGCTGAAAGACGCGTGTGCACACACGCATGCCCAAGCAAGGGCCCATAAACGTGCATACACTCTCTCCGGGACCACACACGCGTGCGCACCCGCTTACTCTGCACGCGTGTCATGTGTGCACGCTTGCCCGCGCGCGCGCGCACGCGCACACACACACACACACACACACACACACACATGCACATGCACACACATACTGACATACATACATGCGCACACAAACACACACACACACACACACACATGTCGCAGGTGGGACGTGGCATCTACCAGTATGACACCGAAAAGCAGCAGGAGGCAAAGAACTGAGGCGGCATGCCTGCTGGGGGCCCCGTGGGACCACACCAGCTGACAACCACAACCTGGCGGCAGGCTGTCCGCCCGAGCTGCACATCGGCCGGCAAGTTGAACATGAGGGCGCCAACCTGGCCCCTTGCCGCTGAGCCGCCTGCATTTACGGTTGTGCGCCATGCGGTCCCGCCGCGCGACCACCCGTGGCTGGCGGCCCGCTGCTGGTGCCCCTTGTTGGCGCGCCCCTGAATGGCCGCAAGGGTGGATGCGCATAAGGGATTGCCCCTGGCAATTTTGGTTTCGGCATTGCGGGCGCGTCACTAGCCTTGGATCATTGCCTGGAGTTCCCGCTAGCCTGACTCTTTTCTCCTGTCGTCTGTTTATACTCGTTAGTCACTTCCAAATCGGTTTTGTTTCCGGCTCTGCACAGGCCCCGTTGCGTTGCAGGCTTGCTGATTCGATAGCACACGTGCGCATTGCCACCTTGTGCGTGGCGAGGGCGGCCCAGCAGCGCTGTCGCGACTGTTTAAAAGCATCGGCCGGCATGAGAGTGCAGCAGCCTCAACGACCCCGCTTTGTTGATCCCCTGCGTCCTGTCAAGTTTCTGGAGTCGCCCTGCCTGAGAGGCTGCCACACGCCTGTGTTGGGTTGTGCTCAACTCTGTTGCGGGCGGCGTGAGGCGTTGGCCTGGGAGTGCACTCGCGCTCAACGCGACGACGCGCGCCCACCCCACCGCTGCCTGTGCGGCGGCCGTTGTAACACCGCAGCCCCTTGCTTGGCCATTGGTGGCTTTGCAAACCAGCGACAGTCCACATCATCCCGAAGCTGTGTTGGTCATTGGGAGAATCAAAGACGGGGCTCGTGGCAAGGTTGCTTTACCCACGGTTTTGGTTGGTGGTGAGCCCTTCTCATCGCCGGCTGCCGGCGGCCGCCTCGGCTGGCGCGGGCTCCAGCGCCGGCGCCACCACCACCTGCCGCCCCTTGAGCCCGTTCGCAAAGTCCCGCCCCGTCATCGCCTTTTTCGCCGGCTGCTGCAGCTGCAGCACCTCCAGCGCGCCGCCGCCGCCGCAGGGCACGAGCATGCGGCCGCCAGGCGCAAACACCACACGGCCGGCCGCGGCGGCGTCGGCGGGCAGTTCGGATGGGTCTGCCAGCCGCGTCGACAGGATCTTGATCTGCACCCGCTCGCCTGCCACTGTGTTGCCGCTGCTGCTGCTGCTGTTCCCTTCACTGGCACTGCCGCCGCCGCTGCTGCTGCTGCTGTTCCCTTCACTGGCACTGCCGCCGCCGCTGCTGCTGCTCCCCTCACTGCTGCTGGTTGTGCTGCTGCTGCTGCCTCCGCCGATAATGAAGTCACCAAACGTGCCGGGCCAAGGAGCGAACGCGCGGACCTGTGTCGCAGAGGACACGACGGGCGGCAATTGAAGGCCGGGGAGGTTTGGCGCAGACCCGCAAGACTGACTGCATTACTCGGAAGCCGTCGAGAGTGTGCCTGGGCTGTCCTTGCCCCACCCTCACTCCCGCAAGACCTGGTCTATGCCCTGCGCCCCCACGTGGCTGCAGAGCTGAGAAATGGAGGTGGGTGGGGTCACCGGGCCGGGGTACGCAGACACACACACACACACACACACACACACACAAACTCATCTGACAGATATACATGGTCAAACAGTGGTCCATCCCATTGCAGATAAGCCCCCCCTCACCCACGCACCAACAACTCACCACCCCCACACACATACGCACACACACACGAACGCACACACACACACACACGAACGCACACACGCACACGAACGCACACACAAACACACACACACACACACACACACACACAAACGCACGCACGCACGTACGCACGCACGCGCGCCCACCTGGTTGTGCAGCTCCTGGGCGCTGCGGCTGAAGTCCAGGGCGGCCTCATCCTTGGACAGCTGGGGGGGGGGGGCCAATGG